CAGAAGCGTGTACAGTATGAGCCAATCAGTGGCAGTAATGACAGAGCATGTGCTGTTACGCAAAAACCGCGATAGAGTGAAGCCGCGGAAGTCGAAGCGTGAAGTGGCGAGGGTTCACTGTACATTAATTTTCCTTGGGCTTCTTTCTCCAAAGATAAGTGGCATGGCACTTTATAATTAAAATTGCATAACAGTTCTGGGAGCCCCACAGGTGACAACATACATAGTATGCTGCCTGCTTTGGGGGGATTATTGTACGTAACGGTGTATAGGTTACAGTATGATGGTAACCCAGTTAAGCATGGTGAGTGTGTGATGCAGCAGGCCTGCAGTACTGCCACCTGCCTTTTGAACCAGAGGAGTTCACTTTCCTTTGGGAAGAGTTCAGCCCTTCTTGTTCGCAGAATGAGTTATCATTAGCACTTGAAGTGTCCGGAAAATCCACATGCTTAGCCTGTATCAAAGGACAGCCCAAGCTGGACTGAGAAGAAGTGAGGATATTTAAAGACTATCAACTCACCTGCAAAACCAGCTGAAAGGTGCTGTTTTAGGGTGGGCCATGGGGGAGGAGCTGTGGCAGGGACCCTCTGAGGGTGGGCCACCAGCACCAACCTTGGAATGTCTTGTCTAGACTTCAGGATGGTAGCGTGCTCTGTTAATTTGAAAGTGGACTCACCTGTTTGTAATGTGTGGAATTTTGAGTGTGACCAAACACCACTTTATAGGAACGTGGAAGAGAGACATTCATGGATTAATTTTTCCAGTATGAGAATGTCCACCTACATAAAAGTGCCAAAAATAAAATTCAACACGAAGAATATTCTCAATTGTGGGTGATTTTCTCAAGTTGAATTTTTCCATCACCTTACTAAGAACCCACTGCTATTGAGTTGACTGACGTGGTAACAGTGACCTAACGGAGGTTTCTGAGACTCAGTCTTGAACCACTGCACTTGACCTTGGGTTTGCAGCCCAGCACTCATCCCATGGCGCCCCCTTGGCTCCTTGGCTGGCTGTGAGTGTGCTACAGCAAGGGAGGGGCCCGCACTCCCGGCCTCTTACTGACTCGGTGTTTGCTCACCAGGCAGATGATGGAAGATTGGAATTAAAGACCTACAGTTTGAGTAGTTTTGAATTTCTTCCTAAACTAATTTTCCTCCTTTGAATCCTCTTCATTTGGTTTGTGATGTGACACCCCCCCCCCCACCCAAGTGACATGGGGCCCACGGTGCTGTGCTCAGTGCAATTGGGTTGGTGACAGGTATCCTGACCTGCACAGGGTCCCAAGCCCCCCACACCTCAGTGTTTCTGGTGGTGACTCCTAGCACCCCTGTAGGTCAGAGGAGCACTGCTGCAGAGCGCTGGTGCTGAACCCAGGGTGCCACGGCCAAAAGAAATACTTGAGGCCCGCTGCACTAGCTTCCCGCAGGCTGGTGGAGGTTACGTCCAGCCCCCTGGAGGTCGGAGAGCTGCTTCCCTCTCACCGTGACCACGAGCACTAGGAGAGGGGCATGTAGGCCTCGGAGCCAAGCACAGTGTGTCCCAGCTTGGGGCAGCACGTGAGACTGTACTTGCATCATGCTGCTGCCGTCACGTGGGTGCTGTGCTGTGGGGGTGGGCGCAGCTGCAGGGGGGTCTTGAATGTGGAATTGGTTGTAGAAGTAAGTGGTGAGTGCTCATTGAATATTTTCATCATGTGGCAAACTTCACATGATGAAGGGCAAGTGGGTCTTGACTTATGGATACCCAAACAACAAGGTACCCCACGCGGGTGCTGGAGATGTTAAGTGCATTTTCAGGAAAATCTCATGTTTGACTAAGGTGCATGCTTAAATTACAAACCTTCCGGGAAACCCTGTGGGACCCTGCCACCACGGCATGCACTCCTCTTCACCTCTTGGTGTGTGGTTACAGGGACCAGGTCTCTGAAAACCGGTATTGTGCAAAAGTTGAGGAAGGCTGCCTCCCTCCCTCACCACCTCCCCGTATAACTGCCGGTCACATGATGACACACCTCCCAGCTTAGTGACTTGTCCCCAAACACCTCAGCATTGCTACTGCTGGGCGCACACGGCTGCTGCGCCGTGCATTCTCACAATTGTCCTGGTTGTTGCTGATGCCGAGTGGTAAAGGGCGGGCTGTGCCCACCTAATGAGCCCTTTTTTGGCAGGAGGCCCCCTGGGGGTGATATGGCCACAGACCCAGTCAGCTCTCGGCCCTGGGGCAGGCATCCCATCCTTCAGAGCCCCCTTGTCCCCTCCATTCTCTCCCAGCTGTGCTGGCTGGGTGGGTACCATGCTCCTGAGCTAAGTCGTGGGCCATGGGAAAGATGGGGCTTTCTACTTTCGTGAAGAGCCTTGGACACCCACAGGAGCAGTGCCACCTTGTCCTATAGGTCCCTGTGAGTTGGAATCAACTCGCTGGCAGTGAGTTTGGGGAGGAACTAGGCTGTGAGGAGGTTCACAGAGGCAGTGGCGGTGGCGTGCCGGTGTGCAGAGCCCCTCCCTTGTCCCTGGCTGTGAGCTGTGATTGCAGCTGGCTGTGGTCTCTGCACCCCTCTGACTGGCTGTGTGGGAGGAGCGCAGCAGCTCCGAGTGACACGTTAGTTTGTCAGTAGGTGTTTGGGGCCATTGACATTGCATGTTTCTGAAAGAAAGTGTATGGCAACATGTTATGGTAGCTTGGGCGACTAAATAACCGTGCCGCCATTCTTTGTTCCTTTCTTGTTTTGAAGAAGAAAGAAGATTGGATATAGAAGAGAAGCCTCTGGTCGTGCAGTTGAATTGGAACAAAGATGACCGGGAGGGCAGATTTGTTCTGAAGAATGAGAACGACGCCATTCCCCCAAAGGTGGGCATCCTCCACAGTGTTGGCCGCCTACCCTCACTCCCCCCAGAGATGGTGAGAGGGCGCTGCTGGGCTCTTGCTCTGTCCTGGGCACCGGCCAGCGCCTGGTGTCGCTTCCCCATTGCTGAGAGGACGCAGGTGTGGTTCTTTTTTTAAACAAGAGAGCTGTGGTCAGTTAGTCACTGCTAGCGTTGCCCTGATGATCAACTCAAAGCTGCTTCACAAGAATAAAATCAAAACAGGAAAACAAAGCTTGTATAGCCTACGTAGGCACAACATAGTAAGGTTTGTTTGAAACCTTTTTTATTTTCAAGGGCAAGGTTGGGAATCGGTACGTTTCCTTGTTTTTTTTGATGGAGCAGAGTCATTCTAACACTTTCCACCTAGAATGTCGTGACGGCAGCAGCGCTGTGACTGAGAAGGATGGCAGTTCTGTACCGAGTGACGGGGCCCGACCCTAGAATTCAGTACCAGTGTCTCGTAGCAAACAAAGGTCAAGAATATTTTGAGGAAAATGTGCACCCTCTCCTCAGAGACCAGGTCCCTGTGTGAAAATTCGTGTGCTGTGGAAATGGAGCACGGCCACGTGGTCACAGAGTGGAGGACACGCTGCCAGCTGTCATCCTCAGTAATATAAACTGCCGACACGAGACCGGCCGGCCCGCCAGCGTGGCTGGCACTGTCCACTGTCCTCGGCCGTCCTTGGAGCCAGGCGTCTGCTGATGTGCAGACCAGCTGGGCAGGAGACTCCTCACCATTGACCTCATGCTCAACGGTGGCTCAGGCAGCAGTGGGTGTGTGAGACGTGAGGCGTCGGTGCGTTTGATGTTTTGCCCAGTGTGAGGGGCAAGATCGCCATTACCTTCGGTCAGCCTTAGCAGAATCACCTTGCTTGCGGGATGTGAGTGCTTCATGCTAAATGGCCGGCATCCAAAATGGGGTTTTGACCTAATTTAGCAGCAGATCCCTGTGGAATGAGAAAGGACATAGCCCTCTCCTGTCCACCCGGGTTTATCCTACGTCTCTTTTGTGTAGTTAAGAATGGCAGGTTCCCAGGGGCGAGGGCTGTGCTGTGAGTCCCGGGATGGAGATCAGTGTGCACCACGTGGTGTGCTGTGTGTCACCCCCAAACAGCCCAATGCCATGGAGTGGTGGCAGTTAGCTTCCCACTGCAGTCCCCATGCTTTCTGAGTTTTCCTGACTCTGACCAGTCAGTGCTAATGTTCTGCACCAGTCATTTGTTTCTGTGTCATTGGCGGGCGGAGACTGCTTGTAGTTTAACCTGTAAACTAAGAAGAAGCAAGGTAACAAGCAAGATCTATAAGGGACACTTTAGCCTGGCTGACCATGGCTGCTCAGCCTATCCTCTGGGTTTTCAGGGAAACCTCTGACCTAGGGGGTCAGCAGGCAGAGCGGCTCTGTTCTTTCCATGGCTGCGCCACGCACAGGCTGTGTTCCACACACTGGTCGTCAGTTTGCATTTCCCACCCTGGGTGCCTGCTGACTGTAGTGCTTCTGGTTTGGTTGGCTTGCTCATGTCACCCTGAGGTGACACAGACCTGAGGGTGTAGTGTGTGTTGTGCCCGGCTCCCTTACACCAAGGCTCTGCCCTGGGCAGCAGGAGGGGTGGAATGAGCTCGGCTATAGCAGATCCTGGGGTTGATTGTGTGCCGCAGCCCACATGTTGACGATGTTCTTTTCACCAGAAGGCCCAGAGTAATGGGCCTGAAAAGCAGGACAAAGAAGGTGTCATCCAGAACTTCAAGAGGACCCTGTCAAAGAAGGAGAAGAAGGAGAAGAAGAAGCGGGAGAAGGAGGCCTTGCGACAAGCATCTGACAAAGACGACAGACTCTTCCCGGCAGAGGACATGTAAGTTACCTTTGGGGACACGCAGTTCTTCGTGTAGCTGACTGGGCCTGGAGGCAGGTGTGGAGGGTACAGGCAGTCATGAGTGCCCTCATCTGGGCTTTCAGGGATATGGCCCGTGTGTCTTAGTGAGATGCCCCACCAAACATGCCTGCCTCGGGGTCCATGGAAAAAGCTCTATGCCACAGCCTTGCTAGTCTGCCACTCGCAAACACTGGTGAACATTTGTGTGTGTGTATCTGTCTGTTTGTCTGAGTTGACTGTGAGCAAAGCAGCAAGTCCCAGGCCCTCACGGCAGAAGTCTCTTCCTGTTCGGCTACCCGTCCTTTTGCTTTTAAGTGTTCGTGGCCTGTAGAGTTCGTGTGATGGTGCTTTGTATTCCTGAGGGGCGTGTAGCCCCTGCTCAGCCTGCCCAGGGCTCACCTGATATCGCCTGAGTGCCAGCTTCCCCTCAGAGAGTCGGGGAGCCCTGGGGAGTTTCAACGGCTCTTTCCCTTCTGTCCTGAGCCCATTGACTGCAGTGCTGCATGTGTGCCGCAATAGCCTGGCCTTCCCTCCTCTCCCGTTTCTTTCCTTTTATGGCTGAAGTATAGGAGCGTGTGAGATTTCAGAAAACCAGTGTGTAAACTCTCCAAGAGGAGAAGGCAGCCGTCAGAAGAGCAGCTCTGTGGGCACTTGCTTTCCTCCGGACACGTGCACCAGCCCTGCGTTTGTGCAGACGGAGCCTCCCATGGGATAGGGTCTTGGGGCCTGAAGGGGGGGACACCTGGGCTGCTGACATGGAACAGCTCCAAGTATACCACCTACACTTCGCTCTGGGTGTACCTGTTCCTGTGCACAGCTTCTTGAGACCACAGGTGATACTGGGCCTTGGACCACTTGTCTGAGCACCCCCCAGCATGCTTTTGGGAGTCATGGCAAGGTGGCAGGCTTGGGAGCATCTCTGGGCTGGGTACCAAGGTCAGGCTGCTACTGGGAAAAGTCCAGTGCGAGCTGCGTGCCCGCTTCCTCCCCCCTCAGAGCGAGCGTTTTCTCATCTTTGTCTGCACGAGTGTGCTCTGTCTTGAACCCTGCTGCACTCTTCTCACGTTTTGCTGGCTGTTCCGATCCTGGGTTGGAATGACCTCTCCAAGTCTTTGCCCATTCGTAATTTACTGTGTATGTGATAAAGATTTGGACCATTTGTCAGTGGACAGTGGCAAACACTGACAAGGGAGAGTGGACTCTGAGCCCTTTGGGGAACACTTAAGTCCCAGGGGAAGACGCGGGCCCTATGTAGTGGAGGTACCCCAGAGACCCTGTGAGCCAGTCTTGCTCCACCCTTGTTTGACCCATGGTTGCAGCCACTGTCACTCCATCACAGCAGCTTCCTCTCTTTTCGCTGCCCTTTCACTTTACCAAGCATGATGCTCTTCTCCAGGGACTGGTCTCTCTGACGACACATCCAAAGTACACGAGACAGAGTCTCGCCGTCCTCCCCTCTCAGGAGCATTCTGGCTGTCCTTTGTCCAGGCCGATCTGTTTGTGTTGCTGGCTGTCCGTGGTGAACAAGTTCAGTGAACTTGGCCAGCACCGTCATTCAGATGCCTTGGTTCTTTCTTCCATCTTCCGTGTCCAACTTAGAAATGCCTATGCAGCGGTTGGTGAAAATGACCTGTATCAGGTGCACTGTAGTCCTTAAAGTGATACCTGTGCTCTGTACACCTTAGATCAGATATCCCTAATGCAGTGCGTCCTTTGAGCTCTTCGCTGCTGCTGCTTCTGTGAGCATGGCTTATCGATCCAAGCCAGATACAATCCCTGGCAACTTCAGTCTTCTCTGTTTATCACTCTCTGTTTACCATGTTGTTACCTCTTGGTCCACTTGTAAGAATATTTGTTTTCTTTCCATTGAGTTGTAATGCATACTGGAGCCTGCAATTCTTGCATATCCTCCGCCAGAGCGAGGCCAGGGTCAACTGTGGAACAGAGCATCAATTGATAAAGTGTAAGTTCTGGTTGAAAATGAAGACAATGAAAACAAGTCCACAAGAGGCAAAATGCAACCCCGAGCCTCTCCCATGTGAATTTCAAGAACAGATTTGACTCATTGAACGCCCATGACAAGACATCAAGCACATCATGCACAAGGAGAGCAGAAGATCCTAGGAAGGCAGGAAAGAAAGGCAAAGTGATGTCCGAAGAGACTCTGAGACGTGCTCTCGGTGATAGCGTAGCTAGAGCCAAGGCGAGAAATGATGACATCAAAGTGCTAAACAGAAAAGGTCAAAGGGCTGCTTAAGAAGACAAAGTACAGTAGTATAGTGGAATGTGCAGAGACCAGAAGTTAGAAAATGAAGGGCACGCTCAGCATGTATCAAGCCAAAAGAGCTTAAGAAAAAACTCAAGCCTCAAGTTGTAATCTTGAGAGATTCTATGTGCAGAATATTGAACAATGCGGGAAGTAACAAAAGAAAAGGGAAAGAATCCATGGAGTCACTGTACCTAAGCGAACTAGTTGACTACCTCAGCCATTCCATGAGGTAGCATAGGGTTAGGAACCAGTGGAAAATCTTTTAAGTTTTAAAAAATAACAATGCTTAAGAGTTCTTTAAGGTTTATTCAAATCTTAAGACATGCTTTCATGAAATTATTCAGTGCCTTATTTTTCTTGTGGTTGGGATGTTGTGGAATCATATTCATTTTCTCTGAAGCATGCTATTTGTGTACCTTTATTAGTGAATACTGGTACAATTATACTACCTCACTACGAAAGCTGCATTGTAAAGCCAGCCGGTTCTCTTGGAGTGCAGCCCTGGCTCTCTGGTCTAGGTGTAGGTCTAGAAGCACACGTGGAGGCTGGGCTGGGTCCTGGGAGCAGTCAACCATCTCTTAAGACATCGACTTCCAGGGCTGGCCCAGGCATTGCCCCAAGCACCACCCTTGGCAGCGTGGCATCAGCACACAGTTGGCACTCTCACAGATGAGGGCGGGGACTTTAATGCTTCTAGCAACACAGGTTCTGCTTCTGTTGGCAGGAACAATTTATTGGAATTTCGTGTGCCCAGCCTCTTGATTGTGTGTCTATGTGCACTCACCCCAAGTGTCAGATTCTGGGTTTGGTTTTCGGTAATATCAGCTCTTTCACTGCAAGAAGGAAGGCTTTTTTTCAGGGCACAGTTGACATCGTCGAGGTCTTTTTTGTGGCCCTTGGGTGGTGGCTCGCAAGCCCTTGAGTTCACCTCTGTTTCACTACCTTGTCTAGTGAAAGTAGGACCAACCAGCCTCCTGTGCTTCTCGTTCTGACAAAATTGTAGAAAAGTGTCAAGCATGCGAGCCCTCCGAGCCTCCTTGGATCCGGGGAAATATGTGTGAGAAGAACACACTCTGCATTTCTCAAGCTGCAAAAAACTGGAGAAGAAATTCAGGCCTCAATTTTTGCAACATCAGGTTGCAACATTGAATGATTCCATGGGCAAAGTATTGAATGACATAGGAGACACCGAAAGATGGAAGGAATACGCAGAGCCACCGTACCAAAAAGAATTGGTTGACCTTCCCCCATTTCAAAAGGCAGCATGTGCTGGAGAACCAGTGTCAGTGAAAGCTGGAATCCAAGCTGCACTGCAGTTGTTGGTGAAAAACAAGGCTCTAAGAAATGGCGGCAGGCCCATTAAAGTTGTTCAACACACTGCTGCAGCACTGGAAGCACTCTCCAGTCAAAGCCGGGAAATTTGAAGACTGCTACCAGGCCAGTCAACTGGACAGGAGCCATACTTGTGTTCATTCCAAAGAAAGTTGACGAAACGAATTGTGGAAATGACCAAGCGTTAGCATCACTTGTGAGTGAGATTTAGCTGAAGATACTTCTAAGATTGCTGCAGCAATACATCAACAGGGAGCTGCCAGAGGTTCAGGACAGACTCAGAAGAGGACATGGAACAAGGGATATCATTGCTGACGTCAGATGGATCTTGGCTGAAGGCAGAAAATACTAGAAAGATGTTTGCTTGTGTTTCATTGATTATGCAAAGGCATGTGAGTATGCGGACCATAACAAACTATGAAGAGCTGTGGGAAGAATGGGAAGTCCCTCGCACTTAATTGTGCTCATTTGGAACTTGTGCATGGATCAGGAGGCAGTTGTGCGAACAGAACAAGGGCACACTGCGTGGTTTACAGTCAGGAAAGTTGTGCACCAGGACTATATCCTCTCACCAGACTCAGTCTTAATGCTGAGCAGTCATCAGGGAAGCTGGGCTATATGAAGATGATCTTACGATCACTCAGTAATTAGAACATGTGAAATATTGTGGGTACAACAACCAAACCAGGCACGCATTTCAGGTGCTCTGACGTCAGCCCTCGGCTCACTGCTCCACAAGGCCGCACGGCTATCTGCACTTCAGTGTGTATGCTCCTCAGGGAGACTGTGTGGGTGCAGGTAGGGCCCCACAGCAGGCCCCTGACACGCAGGTGGGAGGAGAGTCAGAGTGGGGTGCCGCAGGGCGTGTGCAGTGTGCGGGCCTGACCCTCTGGCTGCTGTTTTCTGTGTCCCCAGTGAAAATTCCCGCCTGGCTGCGGAGGTGTACAAAGACATGCCCGAGACCAGCTTCACACGAACCATCTCCAACCCCGAGGTGGTGATGAAGCGCCGGCGGCAGCAGAAGCTGGAGAGGAGGATGCAGGAGTTCCGCAGCTCCGACGGGCGGCCAGACTCGGGTACGCAGCACGAGTGGGAGAGGGCCGCTATGTCCTTGCATTGTGGGGTCAGGACAGGTTGCCTATGCTGCAGCTCAGGGACAGGCCACCACTTGTTGACTGCACAGCGACCTTCCAGGGCTGTGGTGACCACTATGGAAGCTGATTGCACAGGTGCCCTGAGGTGAAGTTGGGGTGTTGAACTGTCACCTTTTAGGGTGTCAGCCACTGCGCCACCAGGTCTCTTTAAGTATGTAGCTTGGCTGCTGTGAGAAACAGGTGCCTAAGGCAGGTGCTTCCTTGGGTGGGACTGAAGTAGAAGAGTTCTGTTCCCCCGAGGGGTGACCCAGGTCCCTGAGTGTGCTCGCCAGTCTGGCTGCTGAGGTTAAAGATCAGGTTCACACTAAGACGAGGGAGAGTGATGTAATGACCATGCTTTACCCGCTCACCCACTGGACTCACAGGGACCCTGTAGGGCAGAGTGGAACTGCCAAGTCTTGAGAGAGTACTAAGCCTCTTCCCTGTGCTTCGCCTGACTCCCATATGATTGTCCCAGCCCCATGCTCTATCCCCAACTTTTTCTCCAAACATCCTTCACTTTTCGTTCTCTAAAGTGGCAGACTGCCTGCTTCGAGCTGATTGCAGCTCATCGCGACCCTGCAGGACAGATGTGTTAGTCTGGGTACTTTAGAGAAACAAATCCACAGAAACTCACGTATAAGAGAGAGTTTTATATAAAGGTTAAGTGTGCATTAAGAAAACATCCCAACCCAGTGCTGCCCAAACCTACAAGTCTAACATTAACCCATATTTCCCAACACCAATCCACAAAGTCCTCCTCCATCTTATAAAACAGGTGCAATGATGCTGCAGGAGAAAAGCTGACTCAATGAGTGTGTTAGCATCTCAGCACTGGTAGGCGTCTCCACACAGGTGCTCCAGCACCCAGGGCTGCATTGTGGTAGGTCCATGCAGCTTCTCCTTGGGGATGTCTTACATAAGGTGACCAGACGTCCCACTTTTGGTGGGACAGTCCCGATTTTTAACAATTTTTCCCGTGTCCCGCGGCGTTTTAAAAAAGTCCTGATTTTTGGAAAGAATGCACGACAAGCTAGGGTATACGGTTTTCGGCTGCCGTGTGCCTATTTCACCAGGATATGAGTTTTATCAATGGTGTCCTGCTTTACCAATGTTAAAATCTGGTCAGCTTAGTCTTGCAGGAAGTGAGCCTTGCCAGCTGAAGTAGGGAACTGCTAAGGGCTTGCACCCTGGTCCGACCATCACAAAGCAAGAGACCCGAGAACTTGAAAGGCAAGGCTCATCAAGCTATTTATCCCTCCACCCTTCAATTAACCCCACGTGTTTATCAGCCAGGTTGGCACAATAAACTAACTCAACAGAGTAGACCGGGAGCAGAAAGCCTCATCTTCACTGTAGCTCACAATTAAGTGAATTTGTTTCATTTTGCTTTTGATTTTAGGCATTCATCTTTATAAAGTTCATTTGTTCACTGATCCTAAAGTTAGGTAACCAGGCACCAAGGGTGTCACTGGCAAACACCTGCTCGAACACTGGATTGTGGAACCTAGCATCTCCTGCTTCCTAGCGGTAGCTTTCTAAGTTGACGTTTAGTGTGGTTAATATTTAAGCTTATCTGAATTCTGAAGTTTCCATTCAGATGGGTCATCAGGAAGTTGGAAAAAATGTTTAAAAATAGGTGTCTGAAAAGTGTCTCACTGATGAGGTATGCACACCTTCATAGCCAACCTTTGAGCTCAGAGGGCAGGGCAGCCTTTCCCCAAGGACAGCAGCCAGTTGCAGGGTGGAGAGGCAGGAAGCCCAGGGCAGGGGTGGGCCGTGCATCTCATCGAGGACATTGAAATGAAATGAGTGTGAATCGTTCGATGTAAGGCTTGACCTGCTCTGAAAACTCCATCCAGTTCACACCAAAGTTTAAAACACCAGAGGGTCCAGCAGGTCAGTGCAGAAGTGGAAAAGCAGAGTGGGAGAAGGAACACCAGATGCCTCAGTCCACGCTTCCCCTGTGCAGTGATGGTAGATGCTTCCCCAAGATGCCCTTCTGGCTTGCGAGGCATCCTTGTGAGGCCGGGTCTCTTCCAGCAGCTGGCATCATGCATGCACCACCTCCTCACGGGGCTGCTGTGGAGCTCTGTCCTCGGGCCTGCCGTCGAGTGCAAGTTTGCGTGACCATCCACTGTGGGATTATGAGGTCTGTTTTTACTGTGATTCATTTGCTATACACGTGTGCTGAAAAACATGGCAATGTTGTTTTTCTTCAGGTGGAACACTGCGGATCTATGCAGACAGTTTAAAGCCAAACATTCCCTACAAGACAATCCTGCTGTCGACAACCGACACCGCCGACTTTGCTGTGGTTGAAGCTCTGGAGAAGTACGGCCTGGAGAAAGACAGTCCTCGGGACTACTGCATCGCCCGGGTCAGTAGCTCCTCGGGGCAGTACTGTGCCAGTGTGGTCAGCGCAGGAGGACTTGCCCGGCCAGAGCGGTGGCCTTGGGTCATGTTTGGGCCTCTGCCGATTTCCTCTCCACGCCACACTTACCCATTGGTTTTGCAAAATGTCTGTCATGTGCGCTCCAGCTTCATTTCTATCACCAAGTCCATATTTTACAACGGCAGGTTCCTTCCTCTTTGGTTCCAACTTTTGCATTCCAGTCACCAATAACTGTCATTGCATCTCGATTGCATGTTTGATCACTTTCCAACTGAGGTCATTGGTAGCATCCTTCAGTTTCTTCACCACTAGCTTTAGTGGTTGGTGCATGGAATCGAATAATAGTTGTATTGATTGGATTTCCTTCAAGGCAGTTAGTTATAACCCGATCACAGATAGCATTGTACTTCATGATGGATTCATCTAGGTCCTTTCTGATAATGAAGGCCACGCCGTTCCTCCTGATTCCCCAACCGCGATGTTCTGATTCCAAATGGCCAGCACCAGTCAGTTTAAGTTCACTAATGCCTTGGCTATCGCTCATCATGCATTGCATTTCCATTGTGACCACTTCCATCGCACATTCCGTTCCGATCATTAGATGATCTTAGGAGCTGTTTCTGTTTCCCATGAATCATGCCCATCAGCCCCGGAAGACCCCTGAGGCTCCTCTCTCACAGGCTTTACCGGACTCCCGTCGCCATGGTCAACTGCCCTCCAAGAAACCATCAGTCACAGTTTGAGTGCCCTCGGACTTGCGGGCCACCCTCCAGCAGGATCTCTGACGGTGTTCTGCTTCCTTTGTTTAGGCTTTCAGTATTTAAAAATGCTTCAAAGCTGTGCTTAAGGTTTTCAGCGGCTTCCTCTGAAGTGGGAGGCTGAATCCTTCTTCATTGTCTGGCAGCTCTGCTGACACCTGTTCACTGTGGGTGACCCTGCTGGCATTCAAAATACCAGTAACGTAGCTTCCAGCAACACACAACCCACCACAGTATGACAAAATGCTCAAAGCCGGCCCTTGCCACCTGGATAAGCGCAGCAGCAACACTGTGATAGTCACTCATTAAAATCATTATCTGATAGTGCTTGGTTTTATGGCTAGAGCCCAACTTTTAGCTGAAAATAGATGAGAAAATAGATGATGCAAAGGAATAATAAAGATAAATAAAACAACTGTAAGGATAAAGAGAGCAGTCGAAGAGATGACAAACAGCCAGAGGTCTCTGAAATCTGGGAGATGGATGTGAGTGAAGTCTTGCTTCTGAGACCAGTGAAGGCCAGCCCAGGGCCGGGCCACGCAGGCATAGTCCCTGGAGGCTCAGGTACGTGTCCTGTGTGGCAGTACGGAAGCTGGGATAGGAACAAGGTTAACTGAGTGAGAATGCATCTCCCCTGTGGTGGCAGGTGCTCCAGGGGGGGCCAGCACAGCGTCACAATGCCACTTAGTCGATGCAGACGCATAGTGACCCTTAGGGCTGACAATGGACCTGCCCCTGTGGGCTCCTGAGGCTGCCAGTCTGTACAGGAGCAGAAAGCCTCTTCGTTCTCCTGAGGAGCCGATGGTGGTTTCAAACTGCCAACCGTGTGGTTAGCATCTCCACTGGGACCCACTCCAAGCAGGCAGGCACTGCATGTAGTGCTGTGATGCGTCTCCCCGACCGGATGACAGCGTGAGGAAGCGAAGAGACGGGCCCTTTTACTGTCGGTGCGGGCTGGCTCCTGAGGGATGTCTGCCAATGGGAGGGAGCCCCTGTGAAAACAGTGTGTGACTTGAAAAGACGAGTTTGCAATAGTAACCTTGTGGAAGGTCACTCGGGAGTCAGCCCCACAGTCTTTCCATACAAACGTGTGTAAGACGTGTTCTTTGGGGGCCAAGGAGGCAGGCAGTCAAATGGCAACTACCTGCTTCTGGACCAGCTTGTCGCTGGAGGTCGTGCTGACTGGTTTTACTTCTGCAGTGACTGCTGACCATGCAGCTTGAGAGCCTTCTTGAGGCTGGTGTGCGCCCGGTTGTAGCTCTACATGGCACGCGTGGGTCAGTGTTGCTGTGTGCTTGGGTTTCAGGTGATGCTGCCTCCTGGCTCCCAGCACTCTGACGAGAGAGGTGCTAAGGAGATGATCCTTGACGACGATGAGTGTCCCCTGCAGATCTTCCGGGAGTGGCCCAGTGACAAAGGTGCGTGTCTCAGCGGCTCCCTCCTGCTGGGTCCGCCCAACTCCTTTTTGGTGTACTCGGAGGGGTAGAGGTACAGGGAGCTGGCCTTGATGCTCTTGACCTTGGTGGTGACCCTCTGCTGAATGACTGCTGCTGCTAGGTTCCCTTGTCCCGGGCGCGGCCACTCCACTCGGAGCCTGCCCCACTCTTGAGGGAGGACCTGAGCAGGGTGTAATGCTGCTGTTTAGAAGGGGGGGTGGGTCTCCACAGAGGGCCAGACTGTGTGTCTGGAAGGCCACTACTGCTTGCTGGCCGCACTACAGCCAGTGACATCTGGATGGATTGGCTGGGTGGGGGAAACACTGGTCTCCCAGGGCTTCAGATCTGGCATCCCCTGTGGGCGCCAGCTGACTGCTGCCCCCAGTGGCCTTGGTGTTAACATACATATGAATGTTCAGTCACACAATGCTTTTATTTGGTTGGGATGTTTTACAACTTATTTAAAAATACTATTTTAGCATTTTTTTCCTGGACAGTATGAAGTTAAACTTGATTCTGCTAAAGTCAAATTGCTTCAAACTTTTGGAGAAGTCAATTAGAGGTCAGACTAATTAGAATGACGTTTTTAGGCAATAGAGCTTCCCAGAGGTCATGGAAAAAGGGGATTCCAGGATCTGCATTGTTCTTGGAATGTTTGGAATCCCCTTGTGCGCACGCACACACACGCACACATTCCCCCCCACCTCCGCTCACTGCCCATTCTGACGGAGAGCCTGTGGGGCAGCATGCTACCCCTGTGGCTGACCGCCGCCGCCACAAGTTCCTCCTGAGGGACCATCCATGATCAACAGGCTGCTGCGCCTTGGGCCCTTCATGTGAGGGTGTGGGCAGTGGGCACAAAAGGTGCTGTTTGCAGGCCCCTGTGCGTACCTGGTCATTTCTGTTGTCATTGACCGAAGGGCCTGTTTCCATACCTGACTTGCTGCTGTCTAGTCCCTTCTGATCCACAGCCACTCTGAGGTTCTGACACAGACTGCGCCTACCCGCTGCTCATTGAAAGCAGCCCTTGGGGCTTCACTGCAGGGCATCTGGGCCCCCATGTAGAGGCGGTGTGGCCTCCCTGCGAAAGGTTTCTGGTGGCATGTCAGCCAGCCCCTCCTGGGCCTGGTGTGTTGTTCTTGGAGGCTGCTGCTGACCACCGCCTTGCTCTTCCAGGGCTTCTCGTCTTCCAGCTGAAGAGGAGGCCACCAGACCACGTCCCAAAGAAAGCCAGGAAGCAGGTGGACGGCAGGCCCCTCAAGGGGAAGGAGAGGGCCGACGGCTCCACCTATGGCTCCACCCTGCCTCCTGAGAAACTGCCCTACTTGGTGGAGCTGAGCCCAGGTGAGAGCCGGGGCGTCCAGTGAGAACGGGCAGGCACGGGGGCCAGCTTTACGCTGACCCACTGTCTTCCTGCTGACTGGTGCTGAGGAGAGGACCTTTAGGTGCCATTATACTGCAAACAACACACAGCTTGGGTCAGAGGAGGCTCACGCTCCTGTTCATCATTCAGCTCCCGTGGACAGATTAGTATCCGGACATCAGTGTGAAAACAGTGCAGAGAGAGGGGTTGCAGGGAAGCTTGGAAGGTTCTGCTCCCTTTAAAGTTGTTTTCAAAATAATCTTAGTAAAACAGTCTGGTTAAAGTGACCAGATTGGAATTTGCTTCTCTTGGACCGATTGAATAGAAAGATAATGTACATGCATGTATATGTCTCTGTGTGCATGTGAATATGCATGTACTCAACCTCTTGGTACAGATTGAATAGAAGAATATAGCACATATGCATATGTGTATGTGTGTGCATGTGTAGTATATGTGCACACGTAAGCTCTCGAGCCATTGTGTATTGCACGAACACTTTGTAAAGACTGCGATCTCAGGAAAGCAGGCATCTGCTTTGGAATGAGGCTTGGCTCAGTGTTGTTCATGTAAGCCCTCTGATAGTGTGACCTTCGACCTTTCTAAGCCAGGCGTCTTGTCCTGAGCTGGATCTCGGCTGGAGTTAACTCCCACCCCCAACCCCTGATAGGTCACTTTCCCTGTGTGCTATTTGCACATGTGTGCAGAACTCAGCCAATCCAGGACTCGGCCAGTGACTGTTGTCCCCATCTCCCCGCTCCCCCTACCCTCCACTAGTGTGGGAGCCCAAAAGGGTTCCTGGGAAGCACTGGGATCCCTGGCCAGGCCTGTCCTTCCCTGCGTGATGGATACTATGTGTGTTGTGTGGAAGCTCAGACTGGGCTCTCACAGTTGAGTGGGCTTTTTTGATGAAGTCTTGGTGAGTGGTACCAGCCAGGAGTGGTACTAGCCAGGAGACGGCCGACCTGCTGTGAGGTGGCCCTCTGTGGTGGCCGGGACGTGGCTGCAGGGAGTAATGTTTATGCCAAATTACAATGCCATGCCCCTGACTGTCTGTGAGAAATGCACAGGCTTGTCTCAGCCCCTGGCTGGAGAGCTTGATCCAGACTCCAGGCCTGCTGCTGCCGTGCACACAGCCCAGGGCATGCCAAGCACTGCAAACTGCTCTGCAGCCATTCCAGCCACACGGAGCGAGTCATTTGCTTTCCAGCAGAGAGGTTTGCAAGGATCTGTCCGAGGCACTGGGCCTGGCACAGAGAATCCCGCCCCCCAGGACGCTCCCAAGCAGTGGCTCTTTCCTTTTGGAGGTTGCAGAGGGTCAGTCTGCGGGGCAGATGGGCCTGGGACTGGCCTGCAAGGACCCTCACCCAGCACAGGAACCCGGCCAGGCGAGTGAGTGAGTGAGTGAGCGGTGCAGGTGGTGGCGGCTCTCATTGCCCTGGAGGCTTCTGCCCCCCAGCCTCGCTGGCCCGTCCATCCGTTCTGCGGGCTGTGGCTCTGTCAAAGCCAAGTCCTGTCGCCTGGCCTGCTCACCATCTCCCCACCTTCTCTTGTTCTCTCTGTCCCAAGACACCCTCACAGCTGTCCCTCACCGCACTGTTTGTCTGGTAGCTCTGGTGGAGGTGTGTCCATGGGGCTGCAAGTGGTGGCTGCTAAGTCAGCCTGCACTGTGTCCCCACTGCGCTCTGGCAACCTGGCATGCTGCCGCTGGGAACATGGGTTCTGCCCTGCCCTGTGCTTGCTGGTGCTTCGTGGTGTCAGCCAGGGCCCTCCCTTGGCTGGCCAGCCAGCGCCCACTTCCTCGCCGCACTTTCACACCTGTCTGTGTCTTTTCTCTCCTCCTCCTGCGCCTGCTCTACGGCCCCCCTGCTGGCGCTGCCTGCGTCCACCCAGGGAGAGGGAGTCACTTTGCCTGCTACAGCTACCGCCCTCACGAAGGTACGCTTGCTCCGCCATCTGCCCTCGCACTCGCGTCCTCTCCTTGCTCATCAGGCTCTGGCCCCACTCCCTGTGCTTGCACGGGGTGTGTCCTGACCCCCCCCCCCCTCCCACCTAGGCTTGCCGCCAGGCTGCCTTCTTTATGGTTGGAGAGGAAGGGGAGGGGCTCGGCCTGGGGGGCGCTGGCAGGTGAGAGATGCCTACAGCTGTGATCGCTGCTCTGCGGAGAAGCCTCTTTGTCAGTGGGCCAGCGACTGCAGGACGTGGGGTGGGGTGGGGTGGGGAAGGAAGGAAGAGGATGACAGGAGCCTGGCAGTGAGCCACTGCCCTGTTGGTCCTGGCCCCCTGGAAACTCCACCAGCCAAGGAACTGGACCTCCCACCCTGTTGCCCACTGCTGCCAGGGGTCTGCTTGGGCACCCGTGAGCTCTGGCCGAGACGATGTGTCCTCCATGAAGGCTGTCTGTCACTCTGGGCTGCCCCTCTCGCCTCCTTAAGTAGTGTGGTGGTGGTGATGATGGTGCTTGGGGTCAGTCCCGACCCATAGCGGCCCCATCGACTGTCCTGTGCCAGCCTCACAACTGCGGTTCTGTTTAAGCCCATTGTTGCAGCCACTGTGTCAGTCCATCCATCTTGTCCACTTCTCCTCGGACAGACCCATGCTCATTGTCATTTCTACCCCAAGCCTGCTCCGTCCAGCTGGGGATTTTGCTTCCTGTTGCGCTCCGTCTGTCAGTTTCACTGACCTCTCAGTGTCTGGGGCTTCGCAGGATTTCCTCTGAACTGACGGACAGACAGGTGTTTCATCAGCAGGAGCCAGACATGGAGCCCCAGTCCGTGCTCCCCTTGCTCTGTTTACCACCGCTCTGATCTTCATGCGTGCATACAGCATCTGTGTTTTTAAATCGGAAGCTTTTCTTGCCAAAATGGCTCTTCTGGCTTTGTTTCCCACTTGCTTGTGAGAGGGCCGTGCGGGCGGGATTCTGCGTGTGAGTTTGTGTCATTCTCAGCTTGACCTCATTGTCCTCTGTTTCTGGCTAATTCGATTGGAGGGGACTTAGATTTGGGGGGACATTTCCCTAACTGGTCACTGTGCTGGTCCCTGCAATATAGTCCCACCCACCCACCCACCCACGCCTCCACTGGGACATGACCTTGTGGTCACAGAGAAGGGGTGGGTGGCCTGGGCAGCTCTCCTCAGCAGGACTGCTCTACAGGGTGTCCTCGGTCTGTGTGGAAGCTGCCTGGCACCTCCTTTTCCCGAGGGGTGTCTGGAGGTTCTCGCCAGATTCACAGCAGACACTTAGACACTGCGCCACCGGGCTCCCCAGACCCATGTGCAAGCATGCAGTGGATTCTGACTGGTGGGGACCCCGTAGGAAGGGGCAAACCTGCCCCGCAGGGTTCTAAGCTTGATCTTGTGGAGCAGCTGCTGGGTGTGAACTGCAGGCCCTGCGGCCCACAGCCCAGTTCCCTTCCCTGTAAATATGGTGGCCTGTGAGAGCCTGGAGGGCAGTCTGGCTCTGCTTCATGGGGTCAATGTCATTCGGGTCCCTGGCACTCACACCGAGGGAGAGGAGGGCTCGAGGGAGGGTCCTTGGGGCCAGATGGACTACATGTGGGTCCCTGTTGCAAGAGGAAGAAGAGCTGGGGTGTTGCTTCGGCGCCACTTTGTGCTGTGCACAGAGTACGTGGAAAACAACTCTGTCCAGAAGAATGTGGTCGGCCCATCTCCCCCTCCACTGCCTCCTCCCCCTCCTCTGTTTCTCCCAAATCAAACCAAGCCCTGGGTGCCGGGGCTGCAGCTGGTTCTTGAAGGCCCACAGGGAATCATTCCCTGAGGTGGATGGAGATCAAGAGGAGCTGGGAGGAAGACCTGCCCGGGGTTTGTCCTCGGGGCCTGTGAGCCCCTGAGCTGGAGGAGAAGCAGAGGGGGAAGGATGGGGGCATGGGTTTCAGCACCTTCCCGGGTGGGGCAGTGCTCCTTGGGCCCCGCTCGGCCACACACGTCCCAGAGCCTTTTGTGCTTCTCCTTGCTCTACGCGCCCCAGCTGTGCTGCTCTCTGCGTGGGCGCAGCCAGTGTTCTAACTTGGCTATATAGTCACCCTCAGCACACATATGTGTTCATGCCCTCCTATCTGGAGGTTCGTTTCCACACACAATCACTGTGTCTCGTACCTCCGTTGGAGTGTGTCTCTCCATTTTCAGCACCGAGTCTTTGTGGGGCCTCAGGAACCTCGGCCGAAACAGAGCCTGTTGGGCACAGGGGGCTTGGTTCCCACGTGTGACAAATGGTGTCCCTGAGTGATTCCCGAGCAGAATCCCCCCCCAGCAGGGGTGGAGTTTAAAGGAAAGCAGACAGCCCAGGGTCCTCACTGGCCTCTGCTGGGCAGGGAAGACCTCGGGGTGCAGAGTCTGCCTGTCATGCCCTATGTGCCCAACCTGGTGGACCCTATCTCCGGAGCTCGGCAGAGTCTGGCGTTGTCACAGTTGGCCAAGCCTGCGTTTGTGGTGTCTTGGCCTGTGAGGATGCAGAGTATGCACGAGGAGGGACCACTGAGAACAGTCCAGGGCACCCCTCTGGGAGACCCACTCTTTTCCTCTCTGAGCTCAGAGTCCTGTGAGTTAGGGGTGGATGGAGACATCCCGGACAGCAGAGACAGACAGCACACACATATGTTCCTCACCTGGCGAGTTCTGTGTCATATTTGCTAACTCACGTGACATCCAGTGGGAGCAGTTGGAAAGCCACTCAGAGAGGAAGCGGGGCTTGCAGTGTCATTGCCCAGGTCTTGGCCCATGGCCCAGCTTTGCTCTCCTCCTCTCCAGACGGCTCCGATTCCAGGGACAAGCCAAAGCTCTACCGCCTGCAGCTGAGTGTCACCGAGGTGGGAACAGAGAGGTTTGAGGACAACTCCATCCAGGTGAGTGTTCCTGCCTGTGTGTATCTGGGCGGGGCGTATCCACTGGGCCGAACTTTCCTTCTCTGTGGTCAGACAGCATGCAGACAGGCCTACATTGTGCCCTGCAGTCGGGGGTGGGGGCACGAGCTCGGGAGGGAGGAGGGCAGCTGGTACTCCCCAAGGTGAGGTGCCTGGCCCCACGATCCCTGCATCAGGTGTGCAGTCCTGGCCTCTGAGTCTATGTCCCAGCTAACTAGAAGAGCCTTCTGAAAGTGACTGCCTGCTTTCTAATGGACAAGGGAGATACGCCTGAAATCAAGCCACTGGGTGATAAAAATAAAGTGCTTTGTTCTTCATGCTGAATTCGTTTGATACAACTGGGAGATAGACACATGTGTATGTACATGTGCTCACACAGCCTCTCTGGGGCTCACCATGGAGGGCTGAGACAGCGGTGGGCACTTGGGGTGACATCACTCTGGTCCCCTGCAGCTCTTTGGCCCTGGTATCCAGCCCCATCACTGTGACCTCACAAACATGGATGGCGTGGTGACTGTGACACCCAGGAGCATGGATGCTGAGACGTACGTGGAAGGCCAGCGCCTCTCGGAGACAACCATGCTGCAGAGCGGCATGAAGGTCCAGTTCGGGTCGCTGCACGTGTTCAAGTTTGTGGACCCAGGCCAGGACCAGGCTCTGACCAAGAGAGCCGTGGACGGGAGCCTGGTGGCCCGAGGCCCCAGGCACAAACAGGGGTGGGTAACTACTGCTGCCTTGTCAGCCTCCTCCCTGAGGAACTGCAGCGGGGGACAGGTGGCTTCATCCCCTTGTGGTGGGGTTTGTGGTTCTGGCTGCAGTTCTGCCTGGTTTGAACTGGTTCTGGGGGAAGAAAGACCGTGAATGACCATTCTAAAGTGGGAGCTCTGGCCCTGGGCATAACTAGCTATGCTCTTTGAGCTGGCGCCTTAAACACTTCATTTGCTGCTTGTGTGCCTGTGTGCCTAACACTTCCTCCCACACTAGTGGGACGCCTGCCCACACTACTGATCTGCCACACGGGCTCCTGGCTGCACACACATTCCTCGTGGGGCTGGGGTCTCAGAAGCTTCTGCTCCCCCCACCCCCCCACCCCAACCCAATTCCCAATTCTGACACCAGGCATTCCGAGGGCTCCAGCTAGTGCCTCTCAGGGGAATGGCTATGGGAGAAGCCCCTCAGGTCATGACGGACTGCCAGCCCAGTGCCCACAGGCACAGCTTTCAGCAGTGTGTCCTTTCCCTCCCTGGAGGGGTTGATCTGGCAGGAGCCCTTGCAGTTCCCGGCCCTCTCCCCTCTCAGGGCTGAGACACCTGCATGCCGCCTCCTGGCAGGGCTGGCTGGCGAGGCCTGGGGCATGCTCAGTGTCCCCTTCTCGTCAGCCTTCCTCTTCCTTCCGGTGAAGACGAGCACGCCGACCCCACGGACTTGTCTGGCTTGTCTCTCGGGAGCCAGCTACCCCAGTGGCAGTAGTCCCTGCCTGGCACTTGTCACCAGGCCTGCGGGCCCTGTTCGCATGTGTGGCATGCCTTTGTGGGGGTGCACAGTGTGCACGCAGTGCTGGCACCCTCTGTCCTCTCAGGGTGGGAGGGAGGAGGGAGGTCTCCTGCTCTGGGAGCGGTGGGTAGCGACGTGCTGCCTGGTTTCATGTCCATAAGGGTCTCAGACCTCCTAGAGGTCCATTTACATCAGTGGTAGGATGGATATTTTTTGGTAACCATGAATTTTGTTTTCATGTCCAACTGAGAGCAATTTCTAAGTAACTCAGCCCTATATTTTCCAGTACCGATTCAGAGCCTGAGAGGCCAGTGTGACCCTCTGCTTACCTGTTTAGGTTTCCCGAGTCACCTGGCGTGTGGCTCAGCCCCTCCCAGGTTCCAGAGTGAGTGGGCAGCCTTCCCCCCAGGGGAGCTCAGACAGCACTGAAGAACACCTCCTGAGCTGATACGGTCCGCACGTCCGTCCACTCACGTCATTCAGTGCTGCCTGCCAACACTAAATCACAGCCCCCCATGGGGCAGGGCTGAACTGCTGACCTTTGCACCGCATTGCAACTTGTAACCACTCCCACCGTGGCTTCTCACAGTCCCTGTTGGCCCCTGGTCAAACTGGTCTTGGGGGGAAATATAAGAGCTTGGTAAGGTGATGGGTAAGTGTGGTCTGCTGGGCCGCTCATGCTCAGTGGACTCATGATACCCATGGTCCCGTCCCTGTTCTGCCCATACGGGAGCACGAGAGGTGAGGGAGGCCAGCATTGTCAGTCAGCCCACAGGTTCCCGGTTCACCACAGCCAGCGCCCAAAACATTGTCTGTGCTCAGTGTCTTAGAGCCATGTGTCTGTTCCAGCTCGGAGAGCCCCGTACTACCGAGCATGCCGCCCTCACTGCCCTGTGCCACCCCGTTGTTGTGCAGCTGTGTTGGTCCTTGTCACTCAGGGCGTCTTCTCGGTGCTGGGCCCTCGGCAGGCGAGGAGCAGCTGGTAATGGTTGCAGAGACTCACCTGCCCTGCTCTGCTTTCTCCTGTGCTGCATCCCGAGGTGACGTCTTGTCCTAGTGACGGTGGACTGGTGCCTGTGGACTTGCCTTTCGCAGTCTGAAGCGATGTGAACTTTTACATCCTTCCCAGGCTTCATTCTGTCAGTGATCTTAAGTAAAAATTCTGCGTTCCCATAAAGTCCACCGCCAGTGAGTTGTTTCTGACTCCTGGCAACTCCTCAGGAGAGGAACTGCTCCTTAGCCTGCTCGTGGCCCTGGATCTATACAAGTAGACGCTGCCTCGTTTTTCTCCCAGAGGGGGCTGATGCAGTCCATCTGCCCACCTCCGCTGGCAGCTCTGAGCTTAACATGCTGTACCTCCAGAGCTCTGTTGGCATTACCATACTGCTTTGAAATTAGATTTTCTTTTTTAAAATATTGTAATGAAAAGAGATTTAATTCCTTTTCATTATCTGGCTGTGTAGCAGTGCAGTCTTCCCAAGTGCTTCTTGGTCTCCATGAGCCACAGTCTCCCTGACCACCAAGGCTCCCCTCAGTTGAGCTTGGTGGCAGGCCAGGACCAACAGCTGCTGCACATGCCCTCGCGTGTGCTTCAGGACTGGAGTTCATCCCCGGTTATTACACTCCTCATGGTAGGAGATGGCGCCTTCTCTTTTAATAATGATGAGTTTAGAAGTCTGGATATTTTGAGATATCATGCAACTCTGTCGGTGGCTCCTGCTGTTAGGTGCCACCAAGTCCGCCTCGGCTCAGAGCAGCCCTGACTGTGTACCCCGGTCCTGCGCCATCTTCACAGTTGTTCTTTATGTCTGCAGCCACTGGCAGTCCATTTCCGGGAGCTCCTGCCCTTATGCCGCTCCCCTTCTCCTCCCCTGAGTGCGGTGCCCTTTCCCAGGCACTGCCCTGTCCTCATGGAGCATGTCCAAAGTAGGTGAGCTGGAATGTCGTCGTTCTGGCTGTACTGCTTCCAGGACAGAGCTGCCTGTCCGCTCACGGTGCTGTCCCTCTTCTCTGCCAGCACACTGCTCAGCTGCGTTTCTCGTCTGTGGGTGTATGGCGGTGACGTCCAGCTTTCACATGCCTGTGCCCGGCACCCTTTAGTCCTCACAGGAACACCTGTGCTCTTCCACAGTGTCAGCCAGCCTCGGGCAGCAGATGTCCCCAATGCGATGCACCCTTTGAACAGTAATTGTGGACCCAAGCAAGATGAAAGCCTTGACTTCAGTCTTCTCGGTCATGATGCTACCTGTTGGTCCAGTTGGGAAGATTTTAGTTTTCTTCACATTGACATGTGATCCGTATTGAAGGCTGCAAATGCTCCCAAGTCCTTTATGCTTTCAGCAAGCTAGTCCAGTCATGAGTATCTCACAGGTTGTACTAGCCTTCCTATAACCGTAATTCCATGTTCCTCATATCGCCTAGCTTCTCTGATGATGTGCACAATATGGAGGTTAAATAAGTGTGGTGAGACAATACAGTGCTGATACCTTCCTGATTTTAAACCATATAATATGTCCTTGTTCTGTTCAAGTGACTGTCATGGTGCGTGCGCAGGCTCCATATGAGCACAAGAAAGTGCTCTGGAACGCCCATTCTGCTCAGTGTTATTCAGAGTTTGTTGTCCACACAGTCAGATGCCTTTGCATAATTTACAAAATACAAGTAAGCAAAGAAAACACTCTGCTTTCAGTCAAGATCCTCCTGACATCAAACATGAGGTCCCTCTTGCCATTTTCTCTGCTGGATACTCTGGCAGCTCCCTGATTATGTAGTGCTGCAGCCATTGTTGACAAACCTTCAACACAGTTTTTGTTGTATGTGAGATCAGTGATATTGCTTGATCATTTCTGCATTCTGTTGGGTTACCTTTTGTGTTAGTCCAGGTAGACTAGAGAAACAAGTCCATAGACACTCATGTGTATAAGAAGGAGCTTTATATACAAAGGCAGTTAATATTGAGAAAACATCCCAGCCCAGTCCAGATCAAGTCTATAAGTCCGATATTAGCCCATATGTCTGATACCAATCTATGAAGCCCTCTTCAGACTCAACGAAACACATGCAATGATGCTGAATGCAGGAAGATCACAGGCTAGTGGATGGAAAGTCTTGTGGATCCAGTGGTGGTATAAGCATTTCAGCTCTGGTAGGGGTTTCTGCGTGGCTCCTCTGGCTCCAGGGCTCTGGCTGCATCAGCGTAGCTCCTCCAGGCTCATCGTCAGTAATGCCCCACGGGGAGTGAGTGTGTCCCGCCTCCAGCGAGCTATTTATCTCCTTAGTGCCTCCAAATGAGGTCATCAAACTGTGACCTGATTAACAGGCTAAACTCTACCTCTTCACACGTAAATCTCAAATTGACAGCAGATTATGTAATTGCCACACCTTTCTTTGGAATGGGCACAAATAGGAATCTCTTCCAGTCAGTTGGCCAGGTAGCTGCCTTCCCAACTTCTTGGCATAGGTGAGTGAGTGAGTGCTTCCAGTGCTTCGTCAGCTCATGGGAACATCTCGATGGATATTCCATCAGTCCCCAGAGCCTTGTTTTTAGTTAGTGCCCTGCTTTCACTTGAAGTTCTCCCTTCAGTACCATAGACTCCTGACCATCTGTTACCTCGTGAAATGATTGACTGGTGACCGGTTCTTTTTGGAGCGGGTTTCTTGTGTTTGACGCTGTATTCGTTCTATCTTATTTTGATGCTTCCTGTTTGGTTCAGTATTTGGCACAAAGAATCCTTTAATATTGCAACTCAGAACTTTAATTTTTCCTTTGATTCTTTAAATTTGAACTGAGCTGAGTGTGCTTCTCCTTTTGGGTTTTCTAGCCCCAGGTCTTTGCACACTTCATGATAATGCGTTGTCTTCCTGAGCTGCCCTTCGAAATGTTCTTTTTGGCTTTTTGACACCGTCCTTTCTTCCAGTTGCTCTCGCTGCTCTACTATCAACAGCAAGTTTGAGTCTCTTCTGACACCCACTCTGATCTTTTCTCTGTATCCTCTCTTTTTAATGGCCTTTTGCTTTCTCCGTGGGTGATGTCCTCCCAGAGCCCTTCAGGTCTCCTGTCATCGGAGCTCAGCGGGTCCCTGCTTTGCTCCCTGCATTCAGGGCGTGCTTCTGGTAGACTTGCTTCCATTCCTCTCCACTGCACCCCGAACTGAGACAGGAGCAGTTGATGGTCTGGTCCACTCAGGCTATGGCCTCGTTTGGCTGCTGAAACTGAGCTTCTCCCTCATCTTTTCCCACAGATGTAGTCAGTTTGATTCCTGTGTATTCCATCTGGCGAGGTCCGTGTGTACAGTCGCTGTTTATGTTGTTAATAAAAGGTATTTGCAATGGAGGTATCTGCACATTTTAATTTGTTGGTCTTATAAAATTCTATCATGTTGTATACTCTGTGTGAGCTGGGCTAATTCTTGGTGTGGTTGTGCTGTGTTCATTTCTCTCTTGTAGCTTACGTCGTGACATTCAGGTACTTTAGAACCACTGTACAATTGCCTTTCAAGAGGGTTTAGCTCTTGTTCCTGTCTCTTGATGTGGTGGCTGTTGTTTCCGGCCTGCACTTCACTCGCTTGCAGTCCTGGTGACTTGGTCTCTACACTGCACCCTCTGGCGTGTGCACGACCTCTGTAGTACTGTTTTTGCGAGGCAGACCATGAGCATGCCCTCACACCTGCCGGGAGTGTTCACGAAGCCCAGGAGAGACTTGTTGTTCCCCGAGCACTTGTGTAGCAAACAAAGCCCTTCTCCCTGTCTAGTGAGCCCGGGGAGATTTAGCCCCTAGTCCCAGAGGCTCTGCCCTGTCCTTTAAGCCCAGTAAACTCGGTTTGCTTCTTTTACCCCCAGACTCATGCAAGAGACTACGTTTGACCTGGAAGGAGATGTGCATAGTGGAACAGCATTACCAGCCAGCAAGGTAGCTATGTGCACGTGACCTGAGCGGGCTGGGGGCTGGCCACTGGGGGACCCCGGCCTGAGCCTGGAAAGCCCCTTTGTAAGAACTCCCTCTCATGGTCAGGCCTTGCGTGGGGTGTCCTCTCCTGGGAGGGACCCCAGGACAGCCATTCTGGCAGAGCGTCCTCCTCACCTGTCCAGTGTGCTGCAGCCTCTGAGCCAGGTTGTCTGTGGACGTGGTTTGGGTGTACCCCCTCCTCTCTGGCTCTCTCACACACGACCCACCACCGATGCCCCTCATGTCCTGTTTGTTATTGACGTCAGGAGCCCTCACCTTGGCTCCAGCTGAGTGCACAGCAGAAAGAAGCCTGCCTTCCTTGCCAGAGCCCATGGGGGCAGCCTCTGTGTCCATCTCCCTGAGGGCCTGCCTCTCCTTCACTGCCCCTCTACTTTACAAGCATGATGTCCGTTCCGGGGACTGGTCCCTCCTGATGACATGTCCAAAGTGTGTGAGAAGTCTACTGTCCTCGCGTCTAAGGAGCCTTCTGGCTGCACTTCTTTGGAGGCAGATTCTTCCCACATCTTTTGCCAGCACGTCCTTTCTTCTCCAGGCTCCTACTCAGCGTCCCCTGTTCACGTGCCGTGAGGTGACTGTGGAGCCCTAGTGACACTGGTTATGTGTTGGGCTACAGTCAGAAAGGTCCACAGTCTGAAACCACCAGCCACACTGCGGGAGAAAGACGGGCTCTCCACCCCTGTTAAGGGACTCTCGGGCAGTTCTCCCGCCCGTAGAGTCGTGAGCAAGCGTGGACTCCAGAGCAGGGAGCTCGGTTTTAGTTTCTGAGGGGATTGAAGACAGGCGCCCCCTTGTACTCAAAGTGACCTCTCTGTTCTTTAACACCCTAACATGTGTCTGTGTCCTCTGGTTCCCTGGCTGATGCTCCCATGAGTCCAAATTGTGGAGCTGAGTGAGGCCAGTCCTATTGTGTTCTTGAGTTTAGGCGTGGCCTGCCCTCGCTGTGGCTTGGTTGTCCCTTGCTAAGGAGTGGGTGCCCGAAGCTTAGTGGTGGGAAGCACCAGCCACTCTGCAGCACAGTTGAGAGGGGCTGGGCTTGCCTGGACAGACCACCTAGTGGCCAAGCTGGTGGCTCTCTGCCACCCTCTGCTGAGTGATGCCAGATCGCCAGGCCTCTGTTCTCGCTGGGACTCCACACAGTCAGTTGGGCAGGCTGGACACCTGCCTCTGGGTGCCTCCTGCTCAGGCCCCAAACTGCCAGCCACAGTATCCCCAGGTCGGAGGGGTCCAGCCAGTGGCAGTGGCATCGTGGTGTGTGACGATGCGAGTGTGTGGCCCAGGCTCCCGTCCTGATGGCCACATGCACAGCTGCTGGTCAATGAACCTTAGGGGATACCAGCTCTGGTCACGTGAGGTCCACGGAGGGTCCGCTCACATGTGGATGGAGTCACTGGTCCGCCACTGTGGTCACCTTGGGCTCCGAGCAGGTTGAGCGAGGTCTTCTCTGGCCTCAGCTGTCCTTTGCGTCTGCCCTGAGCAGCTGGAGAGGAAATCAGGTGCCTTCCCTTGATGTGTATGACTTGGAGTTTGTCGGCATCTTCATTCTCTCAAACCCTGCTCTTCAGAAAGGCAGCTTGTCCTCAGCAGCCCGGGGTTGCTGGACTGGTGGGCGGGCAGCAGTGGACGTGTCGATGAAGGGCCAGGGAGACAGACGTGGGAGGCCCTGGAAACTTGAGGGAAGTGGATTTGGACGAGCATGGCATTTTCCCATGAGCGTTCTGCAGCCCCCACGTGCATGCCCTGTGTGGGAACACCTCATCAGTGGGGAGCTCCCTTAAGCGGGAAGTCGTGTCTTCTCTTTAACCTGATGTGTAAACAGAGCCGGGGCTGACTGCTAGGTCGCACGTGCCCCCTACACTGTTGTGAACTCTTTGGGAACAGTGCTTTTTGAAAAATCCCTTTGTGGCTGTGTGTGTGCGCTCGAGTACTGAGTGCCTGTCTGGTGGGTGTGCACGCAGTAAGCATGTGCTGTGAACGCTTGGACCTGGGCTCTCCATCCATCTGGCTGGGAGTGTGGTCAGTGCCCTCCCACCATCCAGCAGCCTGGCCTCTCGGTGCCTTCACACTCTCGGTGCCTTCACACTCCTGTGCTGTCCGTTGCAGAGTACCTCCCGGCTGGACAGCGACCGGGACTCCTCAGCTTGCAGCCCGGCAGAGCGCAGCGCTGTGAAATCCAGGGTCAGAGTGGAGCAGCCTGACCTCCGCAGGCAGGAGAGCCGGTGAGAGCCAGCGGTGGAGTGGGTGGGAGGGCAGGGGCGCCGGCATCACCTCCACAGGGTCCTTGTTCAGGCCCGTCAGCTATACTGCGGGAGGAAGGTGGGCCGCATCGCATGCGGGTTGCTGTGAGTCGGAATCACCTGTGTGTAGTATATGCGGTGCCATTCAAGGGCTTGAACGTAATTATCTGCAAGTTGAGGTGTCTGACAAATGAGGCTGTTGAGGAGTGTGTTAGCAGAGCATTTAAGTATTGTTTGTTGATAAGAACATCTTGGTCCCTAAGTTGCATTATTAGAAGACCGGCGGTAAGCAATGTGGGAGCATCTGATTGGATGGTGTCTGCCTGTCTCTGGCGTGTTAGCGCCCTGTGTGTATGCAGGGAAGGGAGTGGCAGCATGGGGGGGGGAGGACCTGTATCTGGCCACTGTGGAAGTCCTCTGTCCGCTGCTCGCCTCTGCCACTTTTGAGGTGTGAGCGAGCTGTGTCAGGGACGGGGTGCACAGTGAGAGACTGTCCCCTGAGTAAGCGACAGTTGGTCTGGACAGGCAGTGACTGGTGTTGGCTCTGCTCAGGTCAGCAGCCTTCTCTGACAGCGGTGGCTGAGCCTGCTCCCGTGGTGCTGCCCCCGTCTTTCCCCTTCTCAGACAGTGACCCTGTGCAGACCCAGTACCAGGGCACAGTCTCCGAGCAGAGATGAGTCGGGTGTGCGTTTCCCGCTGTGTCCCCGTGGTGGGCGATGGCGGTGGGCGGTGCCCCGTGGGATCCGAGGGAGGAGCCTGTTGGCAGAAGTGAGAGGCACTTCTCAGTGCCTCTTGCTGGCGTTTGATGAGTGAGCTCAAGGGTTTCTGACCATGGCCCCTCGTGCACAGGACCCTTGATTACTAAGACTGGAGGGCCCCCAACATGGGCCAGCAGAGCCTGCCAGGGAATAGGGCTGGAAGGTGGAAACGGTACAAAGGGTTTCATCCTGGATACCTGGACATTGATCAGCACCAGTGCGTGGCAAGTTCTCAGAACAATCCCAGGTCTAGGTCCTTTTGGTGTGAGATGCTGAGGGCCGTGCTGGGTGGTGTGGGTGTGGCTCAGGCTGGAGGGTCAGAGAGCAGTGCATTGGGCGGAAAGTGGCTGCCATGGAGCTGGAGGAGGGCGGGCTAAGAGAGCGGCGCCACCTGTCCAGCGCCCCGGAGCTGTGTTTCAGGACCCCAGAGGGTGACTTCGCCTCCCCGCGTCCCCCTGCTGTCGTCTGGTTGTGACTTGAGCTGTCGCTGTGGCAGGTGTGGAGCAGCCTGTTCCCAGAGGCTCCAGGAGCCATGCAGCATCGGGTGTCAGCTGGCTCTCGGCGTGAGAGCCCAGGACCCAGGCACAACACCTCCCTGCATGGCTGCCACCAGCCCACTCCCCTGCTCACCTCTCACGGGTGGCCGGCCTTCCCGATGAGGACAGGGTACCGTGCCTCCGTGCCCCTGGACGCTGGAGACCCCGCAGAGCAGAGGCCTGCACGCACCATGAGACCTGCCTCTAACCTGTGCACTTCATTCCCCAGAGGCCAGGACGTCCATGGGCCCGAGCTGATGCTGCCTGCCAGCATTGAATTCCGGGAAAGCTGTGAGTAATCTCAGATGTTGCGGTTGGCAGCCTAGTTCATGTTCCATCGGGTTTTCACGGCCTGACTGGTTGATGGCTTTTCCCATCTTTGAAATGTCCACACAGCTGAAGACGCGTTTTTGTCGGCCGTCATAAACTACACCAACAGCTCCACAGTCCACTTTAAGCTGTCACCCACCTATGTGCTCTACATGGCCTGTCGGTACGTATTGTCAGGCCAGTCCAGACCTGATAGCAGCCCCGCCGAGCGCACCCACAAGGTCATCGCCGTCATCCACAAGATGGTCAGCATGATGGAAGGCGTGATCCAGGTGAGGCCCTGGCCGGCTCCCTGCACCCACTGCCCCGTGCTGTAAGACACGGTTCACCACCTGTTCTGGGCACACGTGGCTGTGGGCTTAATGCTTTAGCAGAAGACAGGATTTGTTTGATTTTTCTTGAAAATATGTTGTCTTGTAAGGATTTGGGGGGGCCCTTGTGTTGAAGCAGCAGAAGGAATGTAGATGTTCTTTGTTTGCCATTTGTTCCCACCATGAAGCCCATGGAAGAAAGACTGTGTTTGGCCAGAGAAGGGTGGTGGGCTGCTGGTTAGAGAGGGCACAGACTCCAGGATAAAGAGCCGAACGCAACGTTTTCTTATGGCCAGGCATGGGTATCACCCAGACAGGTATGGTGGGCACTTGACTTGTTTCATACCGAGTGTCACTTCCCGTGCCTTCAGTCCTCGGTGCTGAAAACTCCAAGGAGCAAGGGTGTCTTTCAAGCCCCTAAAAGTAAATTACGCGTTCCAAAGTCCTTTTTAACTCAGCTGCACGGCACACAGCCCGCCGAGGCTGGCTGGGTCACTCCAAGTAGCATGACTGGGTGGGCTGAGAGTCTTTTTTTCCTGGCAGGAACACTTGAGCAACTGAAAGAATCCTTTCAGGGTGGATGTAAACGGCCTGCAGCACCTTTGGAGAGCTGTGTCTTCCATGTTTGAGTGTAAGCGTGGTCAAGTTTCTTGGGCTTGACTCTCACTCAGACAAGGTGCCCTTGAGGCCATGTGGTGACCCCTGCTGCTGCTTTCCAAGCAAATGGCGTCCTCTCCTGGCCCGTGTACAGCCATTGTCCGTCTTCCATTAAGTGTGGGTCGGTTGCTATGCTTGTTGCCCATGCCCAGCTCTGGGCACACAGCTCCCAGCTCCGCACAGATTAGTGCCCAGAGCTGGGACAGAGCGGAGGTGTAAGACCTGTCATTTGTATCAACCTACTTTTATTTGCAAAAGAATCTACTGAAGGGTAGTCAAACCAGACATGTCCTATGCACCTTAACGTGCATACCTTTTATTTTTACAGTGTCTACTGGCATATCCTATCTGTTTCATCCTTAAAAAGTAATCCTGGGCAAAGGGGAAAAACAAACCAACCAACCCCTAAACCTTCTCATTCTATATGCCTTTATGTAATAACGGTCAATGGTTTGAGCCTGGCAGCTACTCCCATAGAGAATGACATCTGGGGAGCAGTGCTCGTCTGTCCAGTGGGAGCCAGTGAGACCAGATCAGCTGGATGGCTCTGTGTGTGTGTGTGTGTGTGTGTGTGTGTGTGTGAACAGTTTCTTGGCACGTAATCCATACACACTGCAGTAGCTCAGCCACTGGGTGTGCACATTTGGAGGTTTTCAGAAGTTCTTCCGTAATCTTTTAAGAGCTATCTGTCTGTCCATGTGTGCTTATTGTAACTTCTGGGGGAGAGAGCTGTAAAGCCTTGATGAGTGTGCCAACAGTACTGCCAGAAAACAGGTCCTCTGTGTCCGATTTTCAAAGCTGCTTCAGGCCCTCTCATGACCAGTGACCTGGGAGCAGCTCCGTGAACGCCGTGCCCTTGTGTTGGTGTGTGGGTTTTTGTGAGCGATCATGATTGTTTACACGTTTCTTTCTCTTGTTCTGCTTGGTCCCCGTCCGTTTTTCTCCAGGAGGTAGACCAGGTGGATCAGGTAGGAGACACTGCTGGGAACTGTCCTGGCTCTGTTGGCTTAGCTGAGTCTCTCATGCCGCTTCCCGTGCGAGCACAGCGCTGCAGCCGTGCGCTGAGCGGCTCCTAACCCTCATCCAGCCTCTGAGACATGCACTACTAAACCCAAGCGTGGGCCTCACAGCATTTCATAGCTCCCGCCCGCTTCTCGCCCGCCAGCGTGGCTAGGAAGTGACCGCAGGCCGCTCTTGCGCGCTCTCTCTCTCTCTCTCTCTCTCTCTCTCTCTCTCCCATCTGTCCCTGCCTCCTGTTCTTGGATCTCACCTGAGGTTGCCTGACCTGCACCCATGGTCGGGAGAGGACGTGGTAGATCGATACTTGATACTGAGTTGCATGGTGGCCAGGCCAGTGACTTTGAGTATCAGGGTGGCTGTGGGAGACAGTGGATCTGTTAGTGTACACATCACAGATTACCAGATAATGCATGTCCACGTTTGGCCTTGCACTGTGGGGGGTGGGGTGGGCTCTATTTCTCCACGGCCCCCTGAGCCAGCACTGACTGGCTTGCCTGCCTGTGTGGGAGCACCCAGGTGGGGCTGTGGCTGGTGACTCGCCATGGCTCTGGGCGCTCCCATGCCCCTGCAGACATCTGGTATCTGTGTCAGCAGCTTGGTGAGGTGGGGAGGTGCTGGCCTGTCCTCAACAGCTTTTCCAGAGCATTTGTGTGTGCGCGCCCATGCATGTGTGCGCATGCGTGCGTGTGTGCGCATGCATGCGTGCACAGAGTTTGCCCGTGCTCGCTTATGGCCTGTGTTCTGCCTGCAGAAGCAGAAGAACATTGCAGGAGCACTGGCCTTCTGGATGGCGAATGCGTCGGAGCTGCTCAACTTCATTAAGCAGGACCGCGACCTGAGCCGCATCACCCTGGATGCCCAGGACATCCTGGCGCACCTGGTGCAGATGGCCTTTAAGTAAGGACATGGCTTTCAGCCTGGTGCTTGTCTAGAATTCATATGTATATAGTAACCAGGAACATAAACATGATTATAGATTCATATATGTTTGTGGGGTTTTCCCGGGTGGTTTCCAGGATGGTTCTTTTCCCTGGGGGCTCATGGGTTGAGCGCTGGGCTATGTACCCCGAGACTGGCAGTTTGGAGCCATCAGGTGCTCCGAGAAAGAAAGGTGTGGCCACTTGCTCCCTAAACCCTCTGTTTCCGTTTTCCTCTCACTGTCGGGTCCCTAGCTTGCTGTGGGGCGGCCAGATGACAGTGGGTTTGACTGGAGATCCATACCAACACACAGAAGGTGCTAGCCTGTGAGACTGAGTCCAAGGAGCAGCGTTCCCAGTGTCCTAGACCTGTGATAGGCCTGACTGGTCGGCAGAAGCCTCGTGGAAAAGGCAAATGCGACTCTTTGCCACTGAAACACACAGGCGTGTGCACACGAGAGAGGGAGAGCGAGAGCGAGCACCGGGAAATCCAAGGTGGTCCAGAGGCAGGCAGTCTGTCGAGGCCTGGCTTTCCAGGTTTCATAGTCCTGACTTGGGAAGTATTTCCTGCACGAACAGGTGGTTGTAAAGAGCGGTGCTGGGTCTGAGGAGCCTGGAGTTGCTGAGGACTGAGCACCAAGCTCCTCAGTGCAAGGGCCGGGCTCCAACCCACCAGCCACTCCAGGGGGCAGAGTGCCATCGGCTGCCTGGAAGACTTGCAGCCCGCTGGGGCCTCAGACACGGCAGTCAGCCAGCCCCGAAGACGAGGCTGTGGGGACGGTACTAAAGCAGCGTCAGAGGGGCTAAGCAAGGAGACTCCCAGGCAGTTGATGGCAGACACTTGACTCTAGATCATTAAGACTTGAGCAGCTCTGCCTGCCTCTCGTGGACTGTGGCTCACGAAGCTGGTCTACTGCTGCAGGTACCTGGTCCACTGTCTGCAGTCAGAACTCAACAACTACATGCCCGCCTTCTTGGACGACCCCGAGGAGGATAGTCCGCAGAGACCCAAGATCGGTTAGCACTTCCTGTCTTCCTCTCCCCGCACCCTGCTCCTCCTCTCCCGCTGCCGGAGCCTGGGCAGCGGGTCCCCTGTGGCCTGTGGGGAATCCCGTCAGCGCGCTCGGCTGGGCCCACAGTGAGAGGTCCCTTTGGAGCTGTCCCTTCTCATGGTGACACACCAGCCCCATCTAGGTCTCCCAGTCGGGATGGTGGGGGGTGGCTCCTGGAGCACAGTGGGGCTGTTGGCTTTATCTCACACGGGCCCTAGCAGTGGCTGCACTGACCCACAAGGACTGCATGTACTGATGGCCCTGACCTTTTCCCCTCTCTGGCGCTGTGACCTCTCCCTGGCCGGCTCCTGCTCAGACGACGTCCTGCACACGCTGACGGGCGCCATGTCGCTGCTGCGGCGCTGCCGGGTCAATGCCGCGCTCACCATCCAGCTCTTCTCACAGCTCTTCCACTTCGTCAACATGTGGCTCTTCAACAGGCTGGTCACCGAGCCGGACTCGGGCCTCTGCTCCCACTACTGGGGCGCCATCATCCGCCAGCAGTTGGGGCACATTGAGGCCTGGGCTGAGAAGCAGGGGCTGGAGCTGGCCGCCGACTGCCACCTCAGCCGCATAGTGCAGGTGCGTGCCCACACCCTCCAGACTCAGGATTGCCTCAGCACACTCCTCCTCTGGGGGCATCGGGGTCCAATGGTAGTAGGGAGTCTGTCCCTTTGAAAGGCAGATTCCACTGTAGTAATAGCTGACGACCAATCTTGAATCTAGCAAAGCAGCCCCCCAGGCTCAGGCCAACCCCCTCCCCACAGCTCAAGGGGCACCTCTGGGCCTTTCTTTGCCCACCAGACCCTGTGGTGGTTATTGTAGTGCATAATGTTGTGTTTTGTCTCAGTTTCTTTACTTTTAAAAGAGGCTGAGGCTGGGAGGAGGCCAAATGGCTGCTTTGAGTAAGGACGTGTGCTACCAAAAGCACCGCAGGAGGCCCTTCCTCCCGACTCCGGGCACAGGGGCATGCTTCACTTTCCAAGGAGACATGCTTAGATGTTTCGAGAACATAGCAGTCAATCAAATTATGTTACTCTTCCTTGTTTGAGCGCGGGCGTTCAGAGGCTACCTGGAAACTTCAGTCCACACACGGTTGCTTCCGTTCCTGGAGCTCTGTGTCCTCACAGCTCCACAAACAGATGCTGATCAAGGGGCCTCCTCTCCGTGAGCTCCTCACCAACCCTGACCTGTGTTGTCCACTTGGAACAGGCCACCACTCTGCTCACCATGGACAAGTACGCAGCGGAGGACATTGCAAACATACACAGCACCTGCTTCAAGCTGAACTCCCTGCAGCTGCAGGCCTTGCTGCAGAACTACCACTGTGCACCCGATGAGCCCTTCATCCCCACGGTAAGCGCCGCCCGAGCGCAGTAGCTGAGCTGACAAGGGCTGCTCTTTTCTAGGGCTCAGAGCAAGAAGCAGTAAGCACACCACCGTTTCCAGGAGCGAGGCTGGGGGAGCCCTGATGGGTCAGTGGTGACGCGGAAGAAAGGATAGAGTTTGGGGAGCAGGGCTCTTGACTCTCCGTGTGTGGGTGGTGGTGAGGGGTTCCCGCAGTTCCCATGGAGCACTGAGTCCCAGACACTGCAGTCCTCGGGCAGCTTGGATGTTTAGAGGCGTGGTGGTGCCTGAACAGTGCCGCAGGGGGGTCGGAGTGCGAGCGCACAGGGCTGGGTCTGCAGGGGAGCTGGTCCTATGGGGGATACACACTTGAGGAACCACGTGCCCTGGCAGGGATGGGTGGGTGTGGGGTTGTGGCAGCATGGTTGTGAATCCTGACTTGCAGTGTTGTCAGTGTCTGTGAATGCTGGGTATGGGTAACTGTGTGGATGTGTGTGCACAGGGGTGGTGTACACAGGTATGTGAGCACTCATGGTCAGAGATGTGGGTGTGCATGGATGTTTGTGCCTGGTTATGTTGTGTGCATGTACATGAGTTTGTGTAGGGTTTGTATGCACACGGGTGAGTACTTTGTGTGTGTGGGCTATGTGTGTACTACACATGCATGTACTACACATACACATACATTGTCTGCATGGGTGTGCATGAATGTGGCCTGCGGTGATCAAGCTGCCCCTGTGAGTGGCGGGCAGTCACCTGCACGAGTCCCCAGCCGGCCTGTTGCCTTTACCGCCATCCCCAGGAGCTGATCGAGAGCGTGGTGGCAGTGGCTGAGAACACGGCTGACGAGCTGGCACGCAGCGATGGACGAGAGGTGCAGCTGGAGGAGGACCCCGACCTGCAGCTGCCGTTCCTTCTGCCCGAGGACGGCTACTCTTGTGATGTCGTCAGAAACATCCCCAACGGCTTGCAGGAATTCCTAGAGCCACTGTGTCAGCGAGGTGGGTGCTGCACGCAGTCTGCCTGGCTGGGCCGAGTGGGTGGGTCACCCTGCAGTTAGGTGTGATGTTCGAGAGAGTGCCCACAAGTATGAGAAGCTGGGCCTTCCTGTGACAGAAACTTTGTAGACCCCCAGCTCTTGTGGAGGGCAGAGACCCTCAGAGCTGGGCCCTGGGTGCCCCCCTTCTCAGCCTGGGTGAGCAGAGCAGGTGGACCTGGCTGTAGGCCGAGTTGTCTGCTGCACTGGCGTCAGCAGGGCTGAGCAGTAGCAGCTTGGGAGCCCCTCCCGGGACTCCCAGCAGTTCACACTGCGCAGGGCCGGCCCCTAAGGCCGTGCACAGCCTGTGTGGTATGCCATCTGGCTGCCTGGCCCCTCGGGGAGTGGCCGGTGGGTTGGAACCACTGAGCTGCCTGTGAGCACTCCCATGCTCACCACAGCACTGCCGGGGCTGGAAACCCTTGTGCTTCCATTGGAAAGGCTGAGTTTGGTAAAGTTGTCATTTGTCCCTGATGGAAATGCCAAAAGTATCCTTTCCAGCCTTATGGTGGATTCTGATGAACGTTACTTGTTCAGAGAGCACAGGGGCGTGCTCGGGGTGGCCAAGATGGGGCCACGCCTGACTCTGTGATCGTAGAACAGCGTGCAACTTTGGATCCTGTTTTTGGAGTCTGAGGGTCCTGTTTGTGGATTGGGGGTGCTGTCATTTGCTGGCCAGCCCCCTCCCTGCCCTGACTGTTCTCCTTCCCGCCTTCCCAGGTTTCTGCAGGTTGGTCCCCCACCTGCGCTCCCCAGGCACGTGGACCGTCTATTTTGAGGGCGCCGATTACGACAGTCACCTTCTACGTGAGAGCACGGAGCTGGTGAGTCCTTAAAGGGTGGCATCAGGCTGCAAGACCAGGGTCTTCCCCACCACACACACACACACACACACACACACACACACACACTCTCTCTCTCTCTCTCTCTCTCTCTCTCTCTCTCTCTCCCCCTCTCTCTCCCCCCGCCCCTCCCTCTGTGTGTCTGTGCAGGCCTGTCTGTGAACAGATGGATGGTCTTCCAGAAGGGAAGGGAGTCCTGACTCCCAGGCGCCCCAGCCTTCACGCAGTCTTTTCAGATTCCATTCTGTGGTCAGCTTAACAGCGTCTATTAGCAAATTATTTTTCTTTGGCAAAACCTTCTCTAACCGTTACTTGTCCTGTCTTTTGTAAGTGTCAAATCATGTACTAAGGGTGTGCAGGTTTGTTTGTTTGTTTTAGAGATGGGTAGGTGAACGAGGTTCCTAGCTTCCAGCCCAAATTCCGACGCCCTTCCCACTAGCTTCCTACAGAGTTGCCGGGCAGGAAAGGATGTGTTTCCCTGCAGCCCAAAATCCCCCATCTCTGAGGCTGTGTCTGCCCTGAGAGAGGGCGACAAAGGGCAGCCCCTGCCTGCCCCATGCCTTCTAACGTACCTGTGGAGCTAGGCAAAAGCTTAGTCATCTCTCAGGATGTCTCGTGGTGAACGGGCCCTAGTGGGCACCATGGCTTAAGCGGTGGCCTGCTAACCTCAGATCAGTGGTTCAAGCCCACCAGCTTTTGGAGGGTGTCGATGAGATGATCTGTGTCCATGCAGATGTGCAGCCTGGGGAAACCTGGGGCTCATTCCCAGTCCCCAGCATGGCTCAGAGGGCAAGCCACCGTTACCCCTGGGTCAGTCAGGCTTCAGGGAGGACGGAAGACAAGTGTGTCACCTGCTGCTCTTCCTAGATGGAATGGGAAGAGGCCGCGGTTTCTGGGTCCTGGGACTTGAGGATAGTCTCTTCCCAAAGCTCTGCAGGCTTGGCGTTTCCTCCCTAAGTCACCAGGGGGCGCCTACCTGCCCTGTCCCAGGCTCCAACCTGCAGGCTCCCCAATTTCCCAGGCCCACTACACCCTTTCCAGGGAGAAAACAAATTAGCTCAGTACACCCCGCTGACTATTAAACCCTTTCCCCAGGACAGCAGGTGGGCATCAGCTTCTACGGCCCCCAGCTTGTTCCTGCACCCCACTCGGGGTGGTATCACCTATTCTGGGAGGCACAGAGCTGGTTCAGCCACGTGCTCTTGAGTAAGAATTAAAGGGTGGCATTTATTTTGGCCACATCCAAAGTGCAATGGCTCGGTGCCTACTCTACCTACAAACAGTCCCATTTCACCGGCTGAAGAAGTGAACCTGCCCCTGGTACCTGTGATCAACCTTTCCAAAGGCCAGCAGTGGCTTCGCATCCTGAACGGGGTGGAGAACCAGAACCCCTCCCTCGCTGGAGCGAGTTGTGCATCCGCTGCTTGCTGGGTTCCTCGTCGGGGGCTGCTCCCATCAGAAAGTCATCCCATCACACCTCCCTCCGCCAGGCTGTGTGCCTTTGTGTCCGTGCCCACCTTGCTTAGTAAGCCGGGCGAGGCCCTACGAGGACACAGTGGCATGTGAGGTCAGCTGCCCATGGAGACCATGGGGTGATGGGTCTCATCCCTGGTGCACTTGTGAGGACGCACTGTTTGGTTTTCCTCAAGACCACATCTGAGGCCAGCACCTCTGCCCCCTCTAGGCCCAGCCCCTGCGGAAAGAGCCCGAGGTGATCACCGTGACCCTGAAGAAGCAGAATGGCATGGGCCTGAGCATCGTGGCTGCCAAGGTAGGGCCAGGCAGGGGGTGGGCACCGTGCAGGCTGTGGGCTGTGGTGTCAGCTCTGTTTTCTCGGGGGGAGGAAGGGCTCTGCGCGAAGGGATCCCCGAACTTGGACACAATGAGATGTGCAGGCTAAGCCTTCTGGGAAAGAAGCCATGGTGAGTGGCTCGGGAAGGCTCACAGCTGGCTGGAGACGGCCGGGGGGGATAGCCTTCCTCATGCTGGGTGGTGAGTGACACAGAAGTTCTGGTCCCAGGGTCAGGCAAGGCTAGCCGGCCACCTCCAGTCTTGGATACAGAGTCCATGCGCTCCATCTGTCACATGGGACACACCAGGGCCACCAGCGAGCTGCTCAGACATGAGGCGTGGAGAGTGTGTTCACTGGCTCACATGTGCTCTCAGGGGCAACCACTGGCCAGAAAAGCATGGCCCGGCTGGAATGTGGGTCTGCGAGACTGGGTGAGGCTCCCCCACAAGGAAGATCCCAAACAAGCAGCCGAAGCAAACTGCAGCCCGGAAAAGCCTGCCCCTGCTGAAGGAGCGGGACCACGGGGAGTGAAGGGAAGGTCCACCCAGTGTCCAGGCAGTGTGGCCTCCACCCTGGGTCATCATGCTTAGCCTTGGCTGAGCCTGGCTACCGTCCTAGTTCCAGAGGATCAAGTGAGACCAGGTGTCCTTCCCCATGGCCCTCTGCGTGCTTCCCTTGGGTGCTATGGACGAGGGGCGGTGACAGGTGGACAGTATGTGCTGGTGGGATAGCCAACTCGGTTCAGAAGCGACCTGTCCCAGGGCAGGCTGGACGGTGTGTTGTGTCACAGAGTGCGCGCTCCCCACCCACCTCCCACCCAACTATATGGGGACTTCTCTGCCTCTTACCTTGTCTCAGATGGGACAGACAGCCTGCCTCCTGCAAGGAGGGATGTGTTGTGTGTAGAGGTGCCTGTCCCTCCTTCCTGGGCACGTGGGTATGTGCCACCCAAACCGAGGTGTGGTCATGCTCTTCCTCCTGACCCCATGGCTGCCATGGACCTGAGCCCCATGGCCTGTGGGACAGGGTGCTAGGCCACCGCTCGGCCCGGCCCTGCTAGTGAAAAGTGTGTTGAAGGCAGAAGCACCGTGAAAAGCCTTTTCTGAATGGAATGCTGAGCCCCGCAGCAGTCCTGGCCTCGTGTGGCTGTGACTCAGGCGTGCCTGGCCTCTTCCTCCAAGGACAGTGGCCCCTTGAGCACATCGTGTCAGCTTGTGGCTGGGCCTGGGTGGTGGGTGTGCTAGCTCAGTCGAACGGCAGGTTCCCGAGGCCTCACTGAGCACAGGCCTCAGCAGCTGGGACCTGGGGGGTGCTTGGTGTTAGAGGTGGGTGCAGAGGTCTCAGGCAGGAGGCAGCTGTGGGAGATGGCTCTTAGATGGAGCGGGAGGCTGGCTTTCTTTGTGGGCCGCCGGCCATTACTCAGCAGCTGCCCGGCAAAGCCCAAGTGTGTTCCCGTGCACGGTGGGCCGACCTGTGGGAGGCTGCAAGTGGTCTGAGCGATGGGGCCCTGCGGCCAGTGTCGTTTTGAAGTGTGTTTTAAGGACTTCCTGCACAGGTATTCTGAGGGGCCTGTGAGTGCTCCAGTCCTGTCCTCATTTAGGGGTGGGCCCAGGGCAGGCCTGCCTGGGGGTGGGAGCAGACAGACGCTTCCTGGGGCACAGCAAGTATCCGTACCCTGGCCTGGGGGCAGGTTGAGTGGGCCCTCTGTGAGGGTGAGGTACCAGGACCTGCCCTGCCCCTACCCTGAGCAGCTGTGTCTTGGCAGTGGGCTAGGGGAAGTTGGAAGGCTGAGGGGTGGCTTCCATGTGTGTGTTAGACAGGGTTCTCTAGAGAGATAAAAACAGATTGCTAATTTATATATATATATACACACATACACATATATACATTTATAAAGATAGATATATAACACAAATGAACAGTTAAATTATAAAGCAGTACAAATGGCTCAGTGCAACTCATTTCCGTGAGAGAGTTGTGAGACACTGGCAGTCCGTCAAGTCTTGAGGGCCGCCAGTAGTCCTCTGTAGAGAGATTCAGATTCTCCCGGCACAGGCAGCAAATGGCAAGGCAGGTCACCAACAGTCAGTCCCCAGCTCAAGAGATGTAAATTCCAATTGTGTGGCGAGGCAGGTCTTAAAGGGACCTCAAATTATAGCGACACAGTCCATAGGTTAGGTGTCCCACAGGTAG